AGTCTTCAATTAAGATATTTGTAGAGAAAAAAGTTTTTTTCCAGTTTCAGCAAACTTTTTACGGTTTTTTTTTAAATTTTATCATTACTAAGAAGATTTTTAACAAAAATTGTCTGGCAACACTGCCCATATCACCTAAATGTAATATTTTACTTAATATTCACTTTCAATTCAAATATTGTTATAACTTTTTAATATACTAATTTAGAGCACCATATTCTAAAGTTCCTCCATTTGACTTCCAGCAGCGGCGAAGTCGGATTATCGATTGCAGTACCCATCTTGCTTCAAAGACTCAATACAAATAGCTTCAAACTTGGAGGAAGATTTCTCAGCTGAACTAAGGCCAACGACATATCAAGATTTCACGACTACTGCAGAGCACAGACATACATATATATTTATATCAAACGGACAAGTCTTCATTTCTTCAAGTAGGTTCTAAAATTTGTCTGCTCTTTAAACACAAATTTGTTCAGCAAAAATGCGTTTGAAGGGCATAATGAAACCGGCAGTAAGACTCACAAAAAACATTCAACTGTCGGCAGTAACTCTGAACAATTCCCTTCTGTTAAGTTTATTTAAAATTTAATGCAACTCAGGGGCATATAGTCTCCTTATCCGCTGAAATATCCAAAGGCACCAAGATTAATAAGTAGTAAAGTTCTTTCTAAAGAATTGTTAACTCCATATGGCATCACAACGGGTTTACATACATACATATATTAGCTTATCTGTGAGGCGGATCTGATTTTAGGCTATTTCAACCTAACCTAACCCAATCTATGTATCTATGTTTAACAACTCCAGCTCGCGAATATATTTGAGCTGGCCATCCCAAGTAGACACAAATGACTACAGATATTTTAAAATAACTTAATTATTTACTTAAAAAATTTTTCCTAAGAAAATGAGCTTGACTATGCCTCGGGCGTTTGCTTTCAGGGCAGCTCCTCAAAAATAAAGTTGTGTCAGCATATTTCTCCATAAGAGAACGTTGTTGTTTACGACGTCTTTTAACGCCACAGCCGGTCGACTACTTCTATGTATGTAGCGACCATCAAGATGCATCGCTGCTTGAAAATCTTATCTAGTTAACTATACTGTCTAACTTCGACGCAACTGTGAAGACATTTTCAAGGCCTCTCCGAAAGATGGTACCTTTATAATAAGTTGAAGAAAACCCCAATGTCGCCGATAGCAACCTGCGACAGATTTGTTTACATTGTATTGTTACATATGTTTTATAAAGTCTTTGCCGTATCCTCGTAAATTCATATCGCATGGAAAGCTCTATGAGTATTATAATCCTCTGTTCAAAAGATTGTGAGCTGTTTTTAGACGGGAAACTTCTCACATACATATGTACATTAGACCGTGCCACCTTACAAGGAAAAAAAGTCCGCTGTACACCCCTGAGGAAATTTTTTTTTATTCCAAAGTTCATTGACGTCAAGCAGTATTTACTCATGCTTACTTACTTAGAGCACGCCAAAAATTGTAAAATAAATTTTTTGTTTTGTTTTTTGTTTCCAAACCTAGAGATCGCTTTCTTACATTTTTAGTGATATCTTAGAAATTTACAATCGGATCTTAAAGCGTGACATACAGACAATTTTTTTTGTTCCAAGATTAGTTCACTTCAAGTACGCCTTCTAGCACTTACACACTACATCTCAGTCCTTGTCGCTAACGTACCACCCTAATGTCAGTAAATTAAAGCTCGCCTACAGTAATTCAGCTTCTGCTAAAGAAGTATTTAGATTATTCCAGTCGAACTAATTAAAAAAAAAATCTATTGCCAGAGGTAGGTGTCACCGAAAAATGTAAATGGCGGCAATCAGGTTCCGTAAAAAAAAATTTTTTTTTTTTTGGAATTGTCCTGCAAAAATACTTTAGGCCAAGAGGTGTACGACGAACTTTTTTTCGGTGCGGTCTAATGTACATATGTATTTCAAAAAATATAATCGGATATATACGCTTTAATATTCATCTGCCAATACATTATAAGCAGGTGTGCTACGTTTCTTTGAAATAAACCAGCTTTTTCCCATTATACACACGTTCGCCCTTTCGACTTTCGACTAACAAAAACTTTCACGTATCAGGAATTTAAATTTCATAATATGAAATAAATCATAGCTGTCCGTACGCAGAGTCTTTTCTGCAAAGATTAACCACCGCCGCTACAACTTACATACCACCCTCATGTCCGCCTCCTGCATTGACTGAAAGCCAACATAAAGCACAACTTAGGCGTTAAGGCAAAAGCACCCGAATGAAAGCCATCTGCCATTTTT